TCTCGCGCGTGCGGTCGCAGTCGTAGTAGTAGTAGCAGTAGCAGTAGCAGTAGCAGTAGCAGTGGCAGTAGCAGTAGCAGTAGCAGGAGCAGGAGCAGGAGCAGGAGCAGGAGCAGTAGCAGTAGAAGTAGTAGTGTCAGTAGTAGTAGTTGTAGTAGTAGTAGTAGTAGTAGTAGTAGTGGTAGTAGTAGTAGTAGTAGTAGTAGTAGAGGTAGAAAGAGTAGTGGTGGTGGCCGCATGCTGCTGCCCCCACTACTACTACTACTACTACTACTACTACTACTACTGCTACTACTACTACTACTACTACTACTCCTGCTGCTGCTGCTGCTACTACTACTACTACCACTGCAAGGACCATGACGACAACGACCACTACTAGTCATCGGAGGCGATGCCAACTGCAAATAACCTTTCACAGCATAGCGGAGTCGGCTGCAAGACACATGTCATGGCAAGCCCATCCCTCCTAATGCGTCGGCGAGCCTTTCTTGAAGGATTCTCGCGACAGTCGGGTTGCCACGGAGCCTTAGCAGCAAAGCTTTGCATGAAGAATTGACTCTGGGGCGCATGCTTTAGTCGGGGCAAGTATCAATACTTCCCGGCCAAATCAAACATTCCTCTGCGATCCTTTACGGCACATGGCTTTGAGTGTTGCAGAAGAACTCATGTCGAGGTCCTTCTAGCCGTGAACAAGCTCGCAGGTGCTCCGTGATGCGGTTCCCCAAAAAATCGACATGTGAAGCAGGCTGCAAAGAAGAGGTAATTACTCAGGACATTATAGCCAGGCCCGCGGAAGCAAACGAGCAGTGGAATCTGCTCACCGAGCTAGAGGCTTGTCGCGGATTAAAGACCTGGCGCTGTCATCGTCTCTGTCACATCCCCTAGAGAGCGGCCTGCATTCGGAACCCTCGGTCAAGTCACGCTGACAATACTCAGAGACTACGATAACTACGGTTTCCACGAGTACGGGCTGCGAACACATTAGGGTCAGGTCCCTACTCTTCATGTTTGGTGGCAGAACCCACAGGCTCGTAACATCATTGAACAGGGCACAGTTCTCGATCAAGTTTATCTTTTTGCCACACTCGGCGTACGATTTCCATTTGCAGGAACCATGGCCAAATCAGTACCTCAATGAACCTATGAATGGCAAGCCTTGTCTATTGAGTAACGGGTACTTGCCACAAGTTGTTGGCAAGGGGTGACGGGCCAGTGTCGCAGGGATGGTGCGACGAATATCCAACCAACCATTTGAGCAGATGTGAAACTGGGAACTGATGTTGAAGCCCCGGAAGGATGCGGCCACATTCCGGATCGCCACGAGAGTGAATCCTCTCTCGTCTTGGCATTTGTCGCCACTGGTCACTAGCTGCGGCCTCTGGGCCGCGGGAACCCTAGGCCCAACTAGAAACCCCAAAACCACGCCGACCGCGAAACCCCGAAGCCTGATTGCACACCGAAAACCCAGAAGCCTGTGGTAAGCTGGAAATCCCGAAACGGGATCCGTAAAACCGAAACCCTATTGTAAACCCTAGAAACCAACAAACAGGGCCGTCCGGCTTCAGCGCTTCCATGAGCTCATGTGTCCATGGCCCGAGTGGTGGGCTTGGTCTAGCGGCTTGTGATGTGTGATCCAGGTTCCTGTGGCTTCTCCCGAGTTGTTGGCTTTGGTGGTTTCAGGGCCAGATTGTAGGATGTTTTGGGGAGCGGGGTTAGGGGCTTAAGGTCGAGGGCGTAGGGCTGTAGGGTTTACTTTTAGATC